TGTTTTTGTAAATAGGAAGAAAGAAGAGGGAAATTTACCACTAAGAGAAAATGTATTTATAATGGGGCGGGGAATAGAAAGATAAAGAGAGAGAAAAAGAGAGAGTAAGGAATCAATTAGAGAGGGGGACATAGTAAATGAATAGTAAAGAGAGAAATTAAGACGAAAAATTTTCAAATCATATGTCGAATATGAATTTAATATATTATGTTTAATACGATATACTGATCGTACCCTGTGATAAAAGAAGTTTGTAAAAATGAAATAAAACTGCCATTTGCATTGTAAGACAAAAAATAAAGCGAGGTGGAAAACTTGACAAGATACTTTGAACGAAAATAAAATTATTGTTCATGCTAATAGTAGCCATTCTTTTTTTTTGCCATCAAAAGAAAATTGATTATAAAATGGCGAAAAGTAAAACTGTCTCAAATCGCGAAAATTTCTTTCTTTTCTTTCGTAAGGATTCACGCTTGAATAAATAAGCGAGTAGCGTGTTTTTCCTCAGAAGAAAATTGAAAATTAATAGCGAAATGACTATATATATATATATTTATAAAAAAACAGGCAACTTTAAAAAATTAGAATAAAAATGGTAGTACAAAAAAGGAGAATTTGAAATGAAAATTCAAATAATGACTTTTATTTTTCTTAGGTATTTGTTTAGGCAAAAGTGTCATTTAAATTTAGAGACACGTATATTAGATACGCTAAATAATCATTTGGTTCATGTTAGGAACTTGAGTTCTCGGCGGTTAGAATACATCAGCTGCATCCCCTGGAGTGAAGTAAGACACTCTACCAAAAATGAACCACCTCCCAGGTGGAACTTACAGACTCTACTCTCGTGTAAACTAGACATATGTCTTCTTTCTTATTCTACAGTAAACGGGAACTATGTCTAACCTTTTGAATCTAGTGTAAACCGGATTTATGTCTATTTTTTTTTACTATAGTGTAAACCAGTCCTATATCTACAATTCTAACTCGTGTAAATCGGACCAACGTCTACTTTCTGATTATAATGTAAACCAGGATTATATCTACATTTCTGACTCGTTTAAACCGGACCAACGTCTGCTTACTGATTATAGTGTAAACCAGGCTTATATCTACATTTCTGACTCGTATAAACCGGACCAACGTCTGTCTTTCTGACAATAGTGTAAACCAAGCTTATATCTCTATTTCTGACTCGTATAAACCGGAGCAACGTCTACCTTTCTGACAATAGTGTAAACCAGGCTTATATCTCTATTTCTGATACGTGTAAACCGGACCGATGTCTACCTTCCTGGCTATAGTGAAAAATTATTTAAGTGAACGTGTCTTACATCTGCTGAAATACAGTCAGCTTATACAAAGTCCCTCTGATATTGATTGATTTGTTTTCTACGGGTTACAGGTTATTTAATGTCAAAAAATATTTTTAGATTTCAAGAATTTATTTTGGAGATAATAATGGTTTAGTGGTATAATTCTTACTAATAAACCCATAGGTGGAGGAGAAGTGGTGGGTTAATGCCTTTCTCAACGGTCTTTTCGCGTAAGTGAATATGACGAACTCAACCGGAATTGAAACTCTACTCTTTGATTAACAATTTCGAGCCATTATCCATTACACCAACCGCGCATCCCCTGGTATTCCCAAGCGGTCACCCATTTAGGTGCTGACCGCCTGCTGATACTATGTTACTATAGAGTGTTCGATTATGAGTGCTATTTTAATTTTATTATATAAAAATAGTCATGTTACTATTCGGTTAGGTCGTCTAATTTAACGACGTACCAATCCTTGTTGGGTTACTGAGACATTGGTTTGATTTAAACATAAGTCAAATAATAAACATAGGTTGGGTTTATACCTATGTCTACAAGTATTAACACAGAATATGATTTTTTCGTGCAGAAGGCTGTTAGCCCTGTACAGCTTATGAAATTAATTTATTGTATTTTGGGTACTATTTTAATTTCTTTATATAAAAATAATGATAATATGATCCATTATATTGAGCCAATTCCTTGGCGTTCTGCTTGTAAACTTTGTTTTGTATCGTGCTAGACAATTTTTCCTGTCAGAATCTATCTTATACATTTATAATTCAACCATTCTTTCATGAACTGAATAGAGATTATTGATAAAATACAAAGAATAATCTGCAACGTTATTAGTCCTGACCTGGTATCTCGTCATCAGTCACTTTCCCATCGCCGTAATTTAGATTCCCTCCGTCTTTTCTATAAATAATTTCATGCTAATTGTTCTCATGACCTTTCCTCTTTGGCACTTAGGCTTTATGAATTTAAGTGCAGTACTAGATTGGCAGTTAAGTCTCATCATTTTGCAGTTGGAACTTTCTGATGTAACCGTAAATTCTATTTTAACACTTTCTTGTCTCGCACTTCTCGCTTGTGAACCTCTCTTCCGGCTTCTTGCTTTCCAGTCAACTTTGATGTTTAATAGTTTAAATGCAATGTCAATCACTATTTTCTGTATTCCTAATTCCTCTTCTTTTATGGTTCTCACTCCTTAATGTTTTCTTTTTCTCATATTCTTTAACACTCAGTCATCTTGTGCGTCTTAGGGGATTTATTATATGGAATAACACAGTAATTCCACCTACATTTTACGCGCGCGCGAGTTTTCCACCCTTCCTACCACACTTGTACGTGTGTGTGTGTGCGCGCGCGCGGATTGCACCCCTTCCTCGCTCGTTCAATTAGACATAGCAGTAGCCATCCTCTTGCTGGCTACTCCTGATAGCTGTCTAGGACGGATTTTGAATTTTTTCCCGCGCGTTTCTTGACGTCACAAATGCCCAGCGTTTCCAACTTAGTTGCATCCCGATTTTCAAGCTAGCTAGACGGGCAACTCATTTATTCCGTGCCCTTAACCCATACGCGGGCCGGAATATCTTATTCCTGACTACCAAAATTTCAACATGTCGACCTTACACTTTCCCAAGACTCATTCTCGTCTTGATGTAACCCGCAGGTCGAACCTTCTCCGTTTTCGAATAGAAAACGTAGAGATACACGACACAGTCTTCAGTATATATTTTTCCAGGACAACTTGTCTTGATGCGAACAACTTTCGAACTTCCCTCCATTCACTACCGGAGTTGCGGCCTGATCTTCAACCTAGACGGTTCACTCATTTATTCCGTGCCCTTAACCCATACGCGGGCCGGAATATCTTATTTCTAACTACTTTGAAACTTCTCCGTTTTCGACTAGAAAACGTGGAGACCCACGACACAGTCGTCAGTATATATCTTTCCAAGACAACTTGTCTTGATGCGAACAACCTTCGAACATTCTAACTACTTTGAACCAGTACCTAAAAAAATATTACATACACTCACAATGCCAAATTCCACAGTGAGTACTTTTCGTATTTGTGTACACATACACTTTTCGTTTAACAAGTTTTTTTTTCCAGAACTTTCATTCTGATGAAACCTTTTCCCGCCTTGTCCATCTTGTTTTCTGTTTTGGCGCGGAACACTATCACTGAAGGTCTCGAATGACGAGACAACTTACTTGTTCTAATGTAATAAAAATTTCATATGTTTTGCAACCAGACGCCTTTTGTCATTTAATTCCGGCTATCTACTTGTATTATTATTTATGCACTTGTTGATTGACCCCTTTTCCTCACTAAGTTCACTCACCCAATATATCCATACTTTGCTTGTGGATTCGGTAGTTTTGTGTAGTGTCTGGCACAAGGCCACTTTTTAATAAACTAGCACTGCACGCTACCGAGTCCGCAACAATTACCTTGCTTGGTGTGAAATGATTAAAACATTAGGTTGAGTCATAAATCATTTCAGTTTTTTTTTTTAATTTTATTTAAGCTGAATTATATTTTATTCAGTTATATATTCGCCATTTTGTTCGATACCTTTTGAGTAAGCTTCCGCAGACTTTGATGTGAAAAAGTTTTTCGACCGATCCTTCAATCCGGTTTTCGCCATAGAAAGCTTTCCCCTAATCAAAGCGTTTTGCAGCAATCGAAAAAGATAAAAATCCATTGGTACAAGGCCAGGAAAATGTGACGAGTTCGGTAAAACAGACCAACGGAATTCTAATTTTTTCCCTTGTGTCGCTATATGCATCCATGTGTTGTCAAGATTTTTTCTTTAATCTGCTAAGTACGCTGTTTTTGCTATGTATAAACTAAGGTATATTAGTGTATTTCAAATTTATTCTAAATTGCCACGCCTAATTAGTACTTTGGATAATACATTCGTCATTATCATTGGTTCCTCAAAACGAAGATTACTTATAACGCGGCCTAATTGATGTAATGGAATAACCCGGCACCCCCATGAATGATTACACTATAGATAGTAAGTACCTATAAAGTCAACCGTCTACGAGAGACTGAGTAGAGTGAGAGAGTGAGTAAGAAGACGCAAGCACGTCTGACCTTCCAATTAGTGGCACTCAATACTAGATTGACCTGTGTGTATAACTGTACCGTATTTCATATTTTACTGGTTGTGTACAATAAACCTTTCTTCCATTATCCACCTGGAGTTACTTATTTATTCCCTTAGTACGTAAAATAACAGTTCCGACGAGGATTGTCGGAACATAACACTAATATTTTGAATACTATTTTACTTTTTCTTCATATATATATATATATATATATATATATATATATATATATATATATATATATATATATATATAAATATATATATATATAAAACAGGACATGCAGTGATTTAGATAGAAATGACTGAACGAAAGGTTATTGAAATCACTCAAAGGCTTTTGCCAAATTATGATACGTAACAACTTTGAATATATCGTAGTTGGCTTTCTTCGGTCGATGATTAATTCTATTAGTGAACTCATCTTGTATAAATGATGGCAAACAGAGAATAGAATGTATCGAATATCAGTTTGTCTTACAAATGGCAGAGTAAACTTGAAATCATTTGTTCATTCGCCGGTCCAATTATTTGTATATACCAACGTCCGACATTTATAATATATTGCTAATTAGTGGCTAAATGACCTCTCCAGACAGGAGAATCAACGCCATCTTCGTTTGTTGTATGATTTGAGACATACAGTCTTCTCAACGCAATAATTACTGTGCGCGCTGGAGACAC